TTTATAACGACGCTAACAAGTTCCAAGGATTTGGAAGTAAAATTAAATGGGACGGTTTTGATTGAATTCTTTACTGCAAGTAGAACCCCACCAACATGCTTGTTTTCTCTGTCACGTCTTAATATTCTATATCCGGTTGGTAACAGTTCATGGTTGGAAATGGAACTATCAAGCCATGTCTCCGTCAACGCAATAACGTCAAACTGGTTAGCCAAGACAATATCATGGAAACAAGATAATTTACTTTCCTTTGAGTTACACGTGTTATCCCAGTAGGTAGACTTTATACTTCTGACGTTTTGATAAAATACGCTAAAAGACCGACATAAATTACTACTGTTGGGCAGGTTTGTGCATGTGGAGCCAGGATTCGTTGCAATATCACCACTTAGTAGAATACAGAGTAATACATGCGATTTTTTATTGTTTATATCGAAATCCATGAGGTGAAAACGTTTTGTGGGCATGCTAAATTTTCTCTGAATCACATCACGGGTAGAAATCCATATACAGCATTACTTTTCTGGCAAGATCGTTAGTTCTGAATTGATGACATTTCCTGGAATTTTTCTTTTATTATCTTGAACAATCAAACTGGATTTTGATTTCAGCGATAGCCATAAAATTGCAGAAAAGAACAAAAACTGACCGAGCAGCGACAATTTGAGTCTTGTTTTACTACGGGGTAAGATATATATATATATACGGCGAAACATAACGAAAAGTTATTTTCATCCAAAGTAACACGAAAATCCAAGTAATAATTACACGGTGAACAAGGATATCAAATACTGAATGTCAGGATCAGATGAGGGGACTTCCCTTTACAAGAGACAGAATATAAATGAGCCGGGAAACGACCGTTGGTTTAAAACTGCTGTAGCCTAGTTCAAATGTTTTTGAACGACTAACGACGAGACTTGTAGGGTGTGATAGGATGCTTGGTGACTTCCAGCTGGCAAAGTCTCAGCGATGTATTTAAAACAAAACCAGAGATATTAGATCAAGCTAAAACTCCAAGTATGAATAGTGACAATAATCAATATTCAATAATCAGTTCATGCCCTTTAACACCAAATGTATAGATAAATCATGAAATATTCCACCAAAATTAACCAAACGTATATCAAAGTGTCGAGAAAACGCAACAAACACAAATCCGCTGCTAAAACATCACTTTAGACGAAGGAATTACAAGTATATATCATGTAGGGACGAAATTTGTTGCTATGGCGAGCGACGCTATACATTCAAATATTCCAAGGGTCAAAATACTAAATGATGAATTATTCAAACGTTATACAACCATAAGACACCAGAAGATGACAGGATATCAGTAACAAAATTCATAGATCACACAGAGATTTTAAAACGAATCCAACTAATATTAGCCAATGTAGTGAGCAAAAACCAAATATTAACAATATATATATATTTAATTCTTAATTGAGTCGGTTTTCTTTCATGTACCGAGGTGATTATTTTTAATAATAACCTTGAATATTAATTAGCTAAAAAGATGAAGGAAAACTCAGAAAATCGTGGTTCAAAGCAGACGAAACAGACAAAACTTTGTTGGAAAACCTCCTCAATCAAGAATTAAATAAGATAAACACCGAGAATGTCGGGACTTATGTCAGATAATGCCCTCGGACGCTGCGCGTCCTCGGGTCATTATCTGACATAAGTCCCTCCTTCTCGGTGTTTATCCTATACATAGCGATAGATGCCACACGATAATAAGGACCACGATATAAAAACCAAAATAATTCTGTAAATACACCACGGAAAATATACTATCATGATCGCTAAGACTTTGTCTACAATTTAATACCAAATTTTTAAAATATGGTAAAAAATAAGACCTACAGTAGTGAATGTCCAAAATGAATCTCTTTCTAAATTTCTGACTATGACTTGATATTTGACCTTTAGTATTTACATAGAATTGCTTGTGATGATGATTGCTTGCTTGTGATGTGATTCAGAGAAAAATGTAAATAATGTAATTAATTTAGCTTATCATATATTACATGGGCGAATAATTATATATAGCCATAGGAAAATTTTACATTGAAAAGTTTTCATCTTTTTCTATTTTAATAACTGCAATAATGAATTTTAGTTGATTAGAAAATTCATGACACATTCACCGAACGAATATTATAAAATCATGCATACGAGGCCATACGAGGCTTAAATTGATAGAACGAAATGCTGCTCTAAAAATAAAGGATCCTAGGTTTTTTTAAAATTAATATCAAAATTTCTAACCATCTGCTGATCGTATACTATCTTTTTGCCCACATGCATGTAAAAAAATAATCTGCATGCACTTGACCTGAACTGTCCAGTCCAGTCTAGTCTTCGCTTGACTTGCAACCAAAGCTTGACTTGCAACCAATCCCTGTTGGCCTTGATAATTAAAAAACAAAAAAATGGCGGAATTGAAGCACACCTGTATATACAAAAGATCAGGGACGCCGGAACGATAATAGGGCAAAGGGGGGCGGACGCACACCAAGGGCACCTTTTCTGAATTTTTTTTTTCACTGCAAAATTTTTTGGCGACCTCCCCCCCTCCCCAAAAATTTTTTCCGGACATACAAAAATTTTCCGTCAAGCCAAAAATTTTTCCGGATATCTTAAATTTTCGCCATTTCTTCAAACTATTTTTCTAAATTCCAAAAATTTCCCAAAATTTTTATAAATATAAACTATAAATTACCTGAATCTCGTGATTTTCCTACAAAAAGCATCGTTGGAAATGTGATTTATCACGTATTATTTTAAAACTAAAAGGGCACTTCTGCCCCCCTGCCCCCCCTTAACAAAAGGCAAGGGGGGCAGCCGCCCCCCCTGCCCCCCCAGTTCCGGCGTCCCTGCAAAAGATATAAAGATAAACTACCCTGCAACCTGTATATTATTATTTATAGTGTGAAAGATTCTCTTGTTGATAGAATGAGATTCTCTTGTTGAAATAACACCAACATGGCCGCCGTGCAAGTAGTTGCAAGTCAAGAATAGTCATAAACAACCTTGCTGCTTTCTCTTCAAATTCAATCTAGGTTAAATCTTGCTATTATTCATGCGTTACCATATTGTATGTAGGTGTTCAGCAATATTAGCTAAACAGTAAGATGCAATTCGGTATGGTATGATCGGGAAATTTTCTTTCCCTGCCCCCCCCCCTCGCTAACATTTCCGGGAAAATTTTTGTCCTTTGATCCAAAAGTGCCTCTGGAATCCTGTGCCCCCATCATTTGATGCTTCCTACGCCCCTGGAATCGAGGCACACCTGTATATACAAAAGATATAAAGATAAACTAGCCTGCAACCTTTATATTATTTAGTGTCCGACCTTGGCATTGGTCATTTGGTTTGATAAGTCATCCAACTTGAAAGATGTCAAAATTATAATATAATTTAGATTTTATGAACTGGCGTGCACTGTAAAGTCAGTATATAGCAACATATTTTTTATTTTGTCTACTTTAATGTGTCGGAGTCACCTCTTTAACAGAAAAGCCGTACGTTCTGTATAACACAAGAAGGATTGCTTTATCAGATATAAATGAGATGGGGCGCCAGCAGAATGTTTTGGATCTGATAAAGCACAGTCACTGACTGCAAGTTTTCTAGTTCATTGACGAAGTAATTTTGAAAATCAACATTGACTAAGCCGAGAAAATCAAAGCTATACAAAAACCATCACCACAGATTGAAGCGATTTCCTTTGTCTTTTCTTCATGATTTATTACATAAATGATCTTTTCTAACAGGTTTTACAACCCATTGACAAAAGGCTCCGAGCCGAGGATATTGTTAGTCATTTTACAATTAATGCCTTATATAGGATTAGTTTTTAGCGAGAGAGGAAAAACCTGAGGACCATGCGGAGAAACTTGAAACAGAGAAGAGATTGGCTATCAGTTTTTCAAATTGGCTATCAGTTTTTCAAACACAGCCACAAGCAAGCCTCGAAATAAGTGCCGGTCACCGGTCACTGACCGGTAAAATTTCACAGTTTGTCCGGCAAATACCGTCGTCTGGCGGACATACGTGACCGCGGTAAATTTTTTAATAAAAAAGTACGTTCAAAAATGGAGCAGATTTTTGATTTCTAATTTTCCAAAGAAGTGTATGTCCGTCTACGGTGCAGGCTAATAAGGGCGGCGAAGTGACACATTCTGTCATAGAGATACGATATACCGCAAGCATTGTGCCTAAAGCCTAGTTTCCATTTGGTCGTTAGTTGTCGCTGGCACGACAAGTGGCTGATGTAATAGAGTGTCAACAAAACTTTATAAAACTCTGCAATCATTAAAACTGATTTGCATATAACCTGACAAAAAGACTATTGATATGAGACTATTTCACATCTACTGCTTGTCGTGCCAGCGACAACTAAGATCAAATGGAAACTGGGCTTAAGGGCTGTTTTCCAGTTACGCGTTTTTCACACGTGCGACGGAAAAGTTTAAATCGTTTAAATTTCATATAAGTGCAAATAACCTTGACAAATACACATTAAATCATACATAAAACTGAATGCTGTCGTTTTATAAATTTAGTTATTTCATAAGTAGGATGTAAAGCAATTTCAACTTTTATGCGTATGAAAAACACGTAACTGGAATGCAGCCTAAAGCATGCTCGCAACTCAAACTACTGCAGTTGTCATTTGCGACTTACAGTAATATATTAATTTGCTAGTAAACAATGTTAATGTTAATAGTAATGATTACTACAACGTCTACAGCTTTGATAAATGCCATACTTCTACTTTGTATACAAATACAATTAAAATACACAATTGGTTCTAAAGTTACGAATCACGCGAAAGATGAGGGGAAAAAAGAAGCTAAGGAGTGACAATGACCCGCATAAATTCCGCTGTGACCGGTAAATTTAGTGATCCACCGGTCATAATGATCGGTATAACATCCAGATTTATTTCGAGGCCTGGCCACAAGGTAAGTAAAGTTACCAATAAACCTTGGCCTTGACCTCGACCTGCAGCCGGCGAGGTTACCCAACACGGATTGGAAATCATGGTTAGAATTAATTGTATACATATACATATACATATACATATACATATACATATACATATACATATACATATACATATACATATACATATACATATACACACACATATACATATACATATACACATATACGTCCATATACATATACACATACACTGCATACACACACATATACATATACATATACATATACATATACATATACATATACAAGAAGATCAGTGTTGCTTACAAATTACGCTTGTTTCGGAATCTGTACTAACTGCATGAGCACACACATGCATCAGTTATTTCAATTTAACAAAAATATTCGTATACAATACAAACATCAAACAATGGCACATTGGCGTCATTCTTTGAATATTTTCAATGTTCATGCACACACACAATATATACAGACGCACCTGCAACAGAAGTCCACAGGCAGAGAAAAATGAAGAAGAGTCTTGTTTGGTATAACTTTCCTCAGGCTTTCCAAAAGGTTATTTTTTACGTCAATTTAACGATATATCCTAAATATTCTGCTGAGTGTTGATTACTCCAGCATTCTTTCTTGATATATGTCAACTGATACTTCACAATCTTGCTAGATGACGATTTTGACTTTACTCTAACTCAGCCAGTTTCATGTATATTGCATAGCCAACCTAAAAAGTATGTTTGACCATTTTAAATATAAATTATAGTATTTAATTAAGATATTTTATGACTGTTATTAAGGCCGATTAAAAACCAGACGTCTTTTATCTTAACACTTTTTTAAAAAATCGTCTGACACCAAATGTCCAAAAGAAAAGCTGAAAGTTGTCTTTCCTCGAATTAGACTTGCATGGACGGGTAATACGAGCTACCTACAAACTTTGTAGAGGTCAAATCTGCTTAAGTTATGTAAAGAATTTGAGATATTAACTGGTTCATGGAACAGTGCACGTGCATGGTTGGTGTTTTAATGCTTTAATGAAATACGCCTAAAACAGTATTATATACTATACACCAGGAGGAGTTATACTTATATACTGAAAAACTAGATAATATTTATACTTATTTACAAGAAAGACTTCATAATCACTGTATCAGTGTATGACACATACAGGGTGTTTAAAAAAAAAACGTTATGGAAATTCAACAGGCTGTCGTGCATCATAAATGTGGCTAAACAATTCAATTTTTACATAGGACGAAAGAACAGTTATTTAGCTTTTGAATGATACTCTTTTTAAATCGTAACGATGAGAATACTCGTCAAATAAAAATTGCCGGTCGAAATCACATTCTTCCACCGTTGCCGTTGGGAATTGCATGGAAAACGAAACATAAACAATTCCCAAGAGGGAATTAAAATTGAAAGTTAAATTATCTAAAATAAGCTCAACTCGACAATCTTCGTCAGACAATAATGAATAAGAACGTCATTATTGCATTAAGGCGGATTTCCAGTCCTCGCACGATTGCACGAAGCTCCTCGCAGCTCGCTGCGAGTGCACGCATGAGCACTTTCATCCAATCACAATGCTAAACAGTTCATTTTAATTAGATGCAAGCACTCGCAGCGAGTTGCGAGGAGCTTCGTGCGAGGACTGGA